TTACTGTTTGACTGAATTATTGTCATTGTTGGTCCTTTTCCATCACAGAGACGATGGAATGATGCTGCATCAAATCCATCTTTTGTTGCTTTATAGAGTAATATCCACTGTTGATTTGTATTACCATAAAAGTCATTTAATTTATAACTTTGCTCTTCTGTAATTAGGGTACTGCCCGGGAATAGACTCAAGAGAGCTATTAGTCGATTTAATTGATAATATTTTGCTTCTATTGATAGACTTTTTCTCAATATCGCATTTTTCTGATCGAAATGTACTTCACCAGTTCTCAAATATTCTAGTATATACGTAAATAATTTTCCATTTCGATCAATGAATACACAACCTTCATCATCTTTTTCCAATGGCCATTGTTTTGAGAATAGTGCTGTGAAAAATGTCCCTTTCTCTTTTGTCAGAGTCTCTACACTTGTTTGAAATTTGTCACCGCCGACATTTAATGTTACCTTTCCTTTTAAAGAGGTTGTTGCTAATTTTTCTTTTACATCTTTCCATTCTTTTTCATCATTAGCCCAATTAATTTGTGAATCATCCATTATTTTTTTAATTTTAATCGCATCTTGATTTAATTGTTCAAATGTTTTAATATAATCATCAAATTGATTTAATTTTGCTTGAATTAGAGCATGATCTTCTTTTAATTTTCCTATTAATGGCTTCATACGGTTCAATTCATCAGCTTGCTTTTCAAGTTCTTTAGTAGTTATAGTCATAATCGTTATTCCACTCTTTTACTAGAACGTAAAATTAAATTATAAAAACGTGCATTTGATATTAGAGAAAAGAAGTCTCTTTATTAAGTCAATAAAACATTTTACCTATAATAGGCGTTTATATGTAAAACATGACTTACTATATTAATTTCCTAACTACTTTGTTATAGACTTGGTACATATGCTATTAAACTTGAAAATATGTTTTTATATAATTTAATCTCATATGAAATTTTTCATTTGAAACTATTTATTGTACTCTACCTCGATTATCGTTGGTTGCTGATAATCAATGGTTGCATAACGGTTTGAAGACATTCAGTATGCATTATTAATCACAATGAATAATTGTCTAAAATTATGCAAAAAAATAAATGAATGACTGGTTTACATGATTCAAAAAA